CGATTCCCTAGCACCACATAAGATAAAAAGCCGGAAGAGGCGCTGTGGCTCAAGTGGTAGTGCGCTATCTTTGAGCTGAAGAGCTGAGGGACAGCACCCAGGCCCAGAGTTCAGGCCTCACGACCGGACCCCAAAAAAACAAAACAAAAAAAAAATAAAATAAAAGCCAGGTACCAGTGGCTCATGCCTATAATCTTAGCCAGGAGGCTGAGATCTGAGGATTGTGGCTCCAAGCCATCCTAGGCAGGGAAGTCTGTGAGACTCTTACCTCAAATTTAACCACCAAAAAACCCAGAATTGGTGTCCTGGCTCAAAGTGGTAGAGTGCAAGCCTTGAGCAAAAGAGCGCAGGGACAGCACCCAAGGCCCTGAGTTAAAGCCCCACCACTGACTAAAAAAAAAAGAAAAGAAAAGAAAGACTATGGAGACATCTCCTACTTTGCCCAATTTCTTCACAATATAATATTTTGCTGATGCAAAGGACAACCAGGGTATTATCTTTGATAAAATCTCATTAACTTTCTCTAGGTTCAATTGTGTTCATTTGAGTTTGTATGTATATATATTCATTAACTTTTGTACAATTCTAGAAACTCAGTAGATTCATGTATCCATCTCCGTAAGTCATTAAAACTTAATAGTCTGATCACATCCAATTCATAATTTGTCAATTAACATATAAATCTACAGCCTTTTAGAGTTATCTTGCATAAATAGAGATGATTCTCAAAGGTTCTGGGTTCCATTTTAGCATGGCAAAAGAAATAATAAACAAACAAAAACAATACTTCACAGAAACCTAGAGATGATGGCATATACCTGCAGTCCCAATACTAAGGAGTATTAAGGCAGGGGGACTCAGAGCTTAATCTAATTCTTGTCTTTTTTTTTTTGGTGGTACTATGGCTTGAATTCAGGGCTTCACACTTCCTAGATAGGTCCTATACTACTTGAGCCATGCCTCTAATCCTTTTCTGCTTTCAGTAGTTTTTTTTTTTTTTGGGTCCGGTTGTGGGTCCTGAACTCTGGGCGTGGGCACTGTCCCTCAGCTCTTCAGCTCAAGGCTAGTGCTCCACCACTTGAGCCACAGCACCACTTCCAGCTTTTTTCTTTTTGCTTATGTGGTACTGAGGAATTGAACCCAGGGCCTCAGGCATGCAAGGCAAGCACTCTACCACTGAGCCACCTGTCCAGCCCATGCTTTCAGTACTTTTTCAGGGAGAATCTCACATTTTAGACTGGCTTCAGTCTAAAATCCTACCTAACACATCCTGAGTAGCTGGGATTACAGGCAAGAGCCACCATACTTGGTCTTTGTTTTTTTTTTTTTAATACATCTTTATATATTTTTATCTTTTCATTTCATGTAGGAATGTTCTGTACTGAAACCATGTTTTATAAGTGATTACTTCATTCCCACACTTGCCCCCATATTTACTTAGCTCATAATACAAATGAAAAGAAATGCAATAACTTCTTTGTACAATTGCCTAATAAAAAAGGAAAATAAATGTATATAGTCACATTAGTATGCTTTTAAATTAATTATCTTATAATTGTTATTGTTAATTGCTTAGTATTTTCATTGCCCTTTTTTTTTTGTGTGTCGGTCATGGGGCCTGAACTCTGGGCCTGGGCGCTGTCCCTCAGCTGTTCAGCTCAAGGCTAGCGCTCTACCACTTGAGCCACAGCACCACTTCCAGCTTTTTTCTTTTTTTTTTTTGTAATTTTTTTTTGGGGGGTCCGGTTGTGGGGCCTGAGCTCTGGGCCTGAGCGCCATCCCTCAGCTCTTCAGCTCAAGGCTAGCGCTCTACCACTTGAGCCACAGTGCCACTTCCGGCTTTTTTTTTTTTCTGCTTATGTGGTGCTGAGGAATCGAACCCAGGGCCTCATGCATGCAAGGCAAGCGCTCTACCACTGAGCCACCTTCCCAGCCCCGTACTTAGTATTTTCATTGCATAATTCTGGAGGTTAGTTAGGGAAAATCTGATTCTTATTAAAAATGCATTCTATATTTTAAAGTCTTTGAATAAAGTAAATTTATCAAGCCTATAATCTTAGCTACTCAGGAGGCTGGGAACTGAGGATCATGGTTCAAAGAACCAGGCAAGAAAGTCTGTGAGACTCTTATTTCCAATAAACTACTCAAAAAAAAAAGGCCAGACATGGCACTTTGGCTCAAGTGACAGAGCACTAGCCTCGAGCAAAAGAAATTCAGAGATAGGGCCTAGGCCCTGAATTCATGGCCCAGACTGGGGAAAAAACAAAAACAAAAAAAATAAAAAAATTAATATGAGAGAAGAGATCTGGGAATGTGGCTTAGTGGTAGAGTGTTTGCCTAGCATGCATAAAGCCCTGGGTTCAATTTCTTAGTACCACATAAACAGAAAAAGCCAGAAGTTGCTCTGTGGCTCAAGTGGTAGAGTGCTAGCCTTGAGCAAAAGAAGCTCAAAGACAATTTCCAGGCCCTAAGGTCAAGCCCCAGGACTGTCAAAAGAGAAAGAAAGAGAGAGGAGAGAGAGAGGAGAAAAGAGAGAGAGAAAGAGAAAGAGAGGAGAGTGGGAGAGAGAGAGAAAGAGAGAGAGAGAAGAGAAGAGAGAAGATACAAGATAGAAACCTTCTGGCACACTAGAAGTACAGCATATACAAAAGCCTGAACAAAACTCATTCTACTTATGTACTGAAATTTCTGAGACTAACATATTGTGCAAATAACTATGTTGCCTTCTCATGAGCTGCTTAAAGATTTGAAAAACAAACAATAAATAATAAAATGAAAAGACAGATTAAAAAAATATCAAAATCATTCATGTATTTGTGAGTCAGGTTTCATATCGTTGTTTCTTAATAACTACAAGGACCTGTAGGTTATTTAGTTTTTTTGTTTTTTTTTGTCGGTCGTGGGGCTTGAACTCTGGGCCTGGGCGTTGTCCCTCAGTTCAACTCAAGGCGAGCACTCTACCACTTGAGCTACAGCACCACTTCCACCTGTAGGTTATTTAAAAGGCTGCTTTTGGGTTAAGATTTGGTTTTTGCTGTATAATCAGTCTGGCTTATCTAGTTCTATGAGGTCATAGGTAGGACAGGATGAATGAGCTTTGTATAGGTCAGACCTCAAGTGACTCACTTTGTTTGCTTGGTCCCACTGACCTTCAAGGGAATAGAAAAATGTTCTAGTGCCTTCTAATTTTGTATTTGAAAACTAAGAAAATGTAGATTTCCCATGGTATTTAGAATCAAAATCATTGACTAAATTACACCTACGTAGCCAATTTTATAGTATTTGCACACCTCTTTCTCACTATACCGTCTTGAAATGTAACCACCAAAAAAGCTGAAAGTACAACTGTGGCTCATGTGGTAGAGAACTAGCCATGAGCAAAAGAGTTCAGGCCCTAAATGCAAGCCCTAGGACCAGCACAAATATAACTCTGTGTGTGTGTGTGTGTGTGTGTGTGTGTGCACGTGTGTGTGTGTGTGTGTGTGTGTGTGTGTGTGTGTGTGTGTGTGTGTACTGTTGTTAACAAGTCAGCAAGAAAAATAATTGCAAAGAAGATTAAAATTGGTAAGAACAGGAGATTCCCTCTTCAGAAGTAAAAAATTTTAACTAAGATGTAAAAATTAACACAAAAACATTAAAAGTATGGTAAAAAAAAAAAAATTTAACTTTAAAAAGAGAATCCAGGTAGCTAAATAGCTATCTGGAGGAAAAACCTAGAACATCAAGATTACCTCAGCAACCTTTGGAGGTACTCCATCCCCAAGTACTTCCCTGATGAAGCAGGTCTGGCCCATGTAATATGAGAGTCCACAGGTCCTCTTGAAGGCATCTTTAAGTCGCTTCAGCTCTACATCTGTAACTACAATTCAAAAATAGAAGATGGATAAGAAATCAGAAAAGATATCTCACAAAATTCAGTTCCTAAAGGAGCAGGGCATGGTAGAAATAAGACATGGTGGTACATGCCTGTAATCCCAGCAATGGAAGCTGGAGTTAGTAGGCCAGCCTAAGCTACACAGCTAATTGTAAGTCAATCTGGGCTACAAATACAGTAACGCTGTCTCTCAAAAAAAAGAAAGAAAAAAAAAAAACAACTCCTACAGCTAAGTAAAACATACCCCAATGGTAGTCATAATCCTAACATTCTCAAATCTATTCTAGAAAATCAGTCTTTTTCAAAAGAAAAAACTTTGAAAGATGCATACAAATTTTAGGCAGGAGAAAGAAAGAAGTAACAAAACATTTCAAAATGCTAAATAGCATTTGATTCAAGCATATATATGTATATATATATATGTATATAAATGTATATCATTTTTAGACACCCAATATCTAAACCAAACAAAAAAAGGTCCTTTATTTTAGTCATGTGAGACTTTTTTCACTTTATATCATGTCTACAAAGAGAGAGAAATGAATACCCTTCCATATTTAATAAAACTATCAGAATGGAGAAACAGAAACGGTTTCCTTGACCATGCTGGAGGAAACAGAGAAGGCTTCTGTTTGGATCTAGAGAAAGATTACATTAAATTTTAAAGACTAAACCAAGTAAAAGTGAGGAGAGCGAGCATACCAGGTGGAGATAATACTTTGCTTCAAGTACAATATGGCCATACACTGTAAGTTATGCTAGCAAAATAAAAGGTAGAAGACCAAGTCACAATGACTCTGTTCTATAAGGAAAGAATAAATTAATTATAAATAACGGAGACATAAACTCTAAGCAGATTGGAAACACACCAGATAAAATTAAATCAGTTCACTCTAAAACGATGTAGAAGAGAGAACAAACCTGGAAGCAAAATGTAGACTGCTACTATAAGAAAAGGAGCTAAATCTGGAAGCCAGCCAAAAGGAAAAGTCAGCAGAACTTGATGCTTGACTGAGATAGAGCAGTACAGAACAATATCCATACTTCTATCCTAGAAAATTCAAAGGATGGTGTTATCATCCACACAGAAACATGAGGATGGGGGGAGAGAAAGGGAAAAAGGGAAGGAGGGAAGGAGAAGAAGGGAAGGAAGGAGGGAGGGAAAAGAGAAGGAAAGGAATGATAGAAGGAAGGAAATGAAAGAATGAAAGTAAAAATGGAAGGAAGGAAAAGAGAAGAGAAGGAAAGAATGAAAGGAAAAAGAAAAAGGAGAAAGAAAAAGACAACCCTATTAAGGACCTATTCAATATGGGAATTTTAGGGAGATACTTTGGGTTTTTAATTTTTGTATAAAGCTTAGGAGAGGTTTGATGAGAGTTATCATTACAAAGGTGTTAATTAAAACTGAATAAATATAATGAAACCTACTAAAGACCATTTTAAAAGGGGGTAGAGAGAAAGAAAGGATAGTTAAGAAAAGAATAATAGCAGTAACAGTTAAAAAAGAGTAATAGAAAGACTAAAGTATTTATCTTGCCCATGTAATTGTAACCCCTCTGTACAGTATTTTCACAATAAAAAAAGACTAAAGTACATTATATGCATGTATGAAAATGCCACAAAGAAAGCATTTTGTACAAGTAATTTATATAGAATTAAAATAAAATTATGAATAAAAAAGAGAAAAGAAAGAAAAAAAGAAACAAGGAAAATTCTTAAGACTAGTCAGTAGGATATAGGAGAGACAGAAAAGCAGAGTAAAATAAAAACACTGATTTACAGTCTCAAGTAACACAGAACACAGAAAGGACCAGAAAGATAAAAGGACTGAAATGCCTAGTGCATATATAAACAATATGTGGGGCAATGATTTTTAAAACCTAATAGTTAAAAGTATGATTATTAGTGGCTAAATCTTATTAAAACTGCACTTATAATATTAACATCTTCAATATAGTAATTTTATACATACTCTTTTTAGAATGTGAAAATGAAAAACAAGACAAAGTTCATCTCATAAACTGCAATAAAGATAACGTTAGCTACGAGAATATCTAGTTCTTCAAGATAGCTAACCTGTATTGATGGCTTTAATAACACATTAGGTTGCTTCTGATCTACAGGAGAACAGAAAATCAGTCATTAGAATTTAATATGGCAATCCTCTCCACTGTTGGTTAAACATCATCTGAAAAAAAAATTTTTTAAGTAGTACACTAGGGCTTGGAATATAACTTTGTGATAGGCTGGCCTAGTATGCTCAGAACCCCGGTTTCAATCCTTAGTATGAGGATGAGGGCAACAATACATTGATGACCAATACAATTATTCATTTTACTCATTTGTAATAGAGGTAAATATACACATACAAAAGTTTTGAGTTTTTTTTGGCAGTCCTGGTGTTTAAACTCAGGACCCCAAGGCTTACTTGTCAGGTGCTCTCCTGTTAAACCATGTTTCCAAACCCACTTTTGCACAAATTGAGATCGAATTTTGGGAGAGGTTGTTGTGTTGTGTTGTTTTGTTTTGTATCTTTAGGTAGTTTCACAAAGGGGTTTTGGTTCAACATGTCAAGTTATGAGTACAATGTATATTGATCAGTGCCACTCCTTCCATCCTCTTCTCCATTCCCTCATTGCCCTTTTCCATTTTCTCATGTGTACATTGAGTATTATGACTGCATTCACTCACAATTTCTTTCTCAATTCATCTACTTGCTCTGCCCTTAATTCTCACTTCCCTAACAACACATTTCAACTCCCTGCTTTTCATTTTGTTAAAATTGTGAGTTAAGCTATACTTTTTTGAATAATTTACACCTCTACATACATCATTTTTAGTCAGTTTGATTGTATGTATGTGGCCCTGAATGTTTTTATATGGTTATATTTTATATTTTATTTCCACATGAGCTTTCTCTTTGAGCTTGACTTATTTAACATAATTTATCCAGGTCCACCCATTTTTCCTGGACATGACATACACATACACACTCATAATCACATCACATTTTCTTGACCCATTCATCTGTTGTAAAGCAATCTCAGCTGTTTCCATAACCTAGTTAGGATGCGTTGTGCAGCAATGAACATGAGTGTCTAAGTGTCTTTGTTATATCTTAACTTGTAATCTTTTGGATAAATGCCCAAGAATGGCATCACTGGATCACAGGGTATTCTATTTTTAGTTTTAGTTTTGTGTGCAGGTCCTGATGTTTGAACTCAGGGACTGGGTGTTGTCCCTAAGCTTCTTTTGCTCAAGACTAGCATTCTAGCACTTGAGCCACAGCTCCACTTCTGGTTTTTTGGTTTTTATTGTAGTTAACTGGAGATAAGTCTCATGAACTATCTTGCCCAGGTTAGGATTACAGGTATGAGCCACTACACCCAGCTATTTTTAGCTTTTTGAGGTATCTTCAAACTACCTTCCATAGTAGTCATACTAATTTATATTTCCACTAACAGTGTAATAGGGTTCCTTACTTACACACACACATATCCTGGCCAGCACTTGTTCATATTCTTGATGATGGCCAATCTTACTGGAATAAGAGACTTCTTCAGAGAAATGTCTATTTAGTTCCTTTGACCATTTATTAATTAGATTATTAATCCTTTGAGGGCTTAACTTTTTAGCTCCTTATATATATTTGAATTATTAGGCCTATGTCAAGCATATAGCTGGCAAAGATCTCTCATGCTGTAGACTACATTTTTAGCTCCATAACTATATTCTTCAATGTGCAGAAACTTTTTTAGCTTAATTAAATCCTATTTGTTAATTTTATTTGCTGAGGCCCTGGAATTCTACTTAAGAAGTTCTGCCAATACCAATTAGTTCTGTTTCCCATACAGTTTCCTGTACCAGTTTCAAAGTTTCAGGTCTTATCTTGAGGTCTCTGACCCATTTTGAATTGATATTAAAACTAGGCAACAAACAGGCATCATGTCAATCTTCTGCATATGGATGTCCAGTTTCCACTACACCATTTTTTTTGAAGAAGCTATCTTTTTCAAATATATATTTTTGGTTCCCTTGTCAAATATCAGATGATTATAGATATGAATTTATTTCAGGGTTTTCTAGTGTGTTCCACTGATGTTTAGGTCTGTTTTTGTGCTCTAGCCCCTCATCTGAGGATTGCTTTGGCTATTGGGAGCTTTTGTAATTCTATCTGAATTTTTAGATTGTTCTGTCTCTGGGAAGAATGACATTGGAACTGTGATATTAGTGCACTGAATCTATAGATTGACTTCGCCAGTGCCATCCATAAGCATCTTCCCAATGTCTTCAATTTCTTTTTTTCTTTTTTCTAATACTAGGGACTAAACTCAAGGACTCAACATTTATTAGGCAGGCCCTTTACCATTTGAACCATACCTTCAGCCCTTCAATTTTTTTTGGGGGGGGTCCGGTCGTGGGGCCTGAACTCTGGGCCTGGGCGCTGTCCCTCAGCTCTTCAGCTCAAGGCTAGCGCCCTACCACTTGAGCCACAGCACCACTTCCAGCTTTTTTCTTTTTGCTTATGTGGTGCTGAGGAATCGAACCCAGGGCCTCATGCTTGCAAGGCAAGCATTCTACCACTGAGCCACCTTCTCAGCCCCACCCTTCAATTTCTTTATTCAAAGTTTTATGGGTTTTTCTGTTTTTGTTGGTAGTGCTTGAACTCTGGGACTGGCCACCAGTGCCCAGCCAAAGTTTTACAGTTTTAATTGTAGAGGTCCTTCACTTCCTTGGTTAGGTTGATTTGTATTTTCATTGAGGCTATTGAAAACAAAGTTCTTTTCCTGATTCCCTTCTTTCTGTTCCCTTGTTAGTATACAAATGAGTAGGCTGAGCTGGGCACCAGTGGCTCATGCCTATAATCCTCCCTACTCAGGAGGATTATAACCGTGATCTGAGGATCACTGTTCAAAGCCAGACCAGGCAGGAAAGTCCGTGAGACTCCTATCTCCAATTAACCACCAGAAAAACCAAACCAGAAG